CACGCAGGCCCAGATGCAACATCGGGTTGTGGCTGTGTGGAGGTACAGCATGGTCCGAGTAACAGGAGAGGTGAGTGATCTGGGCAGCTGAGAGGACCGAAGCACCACTGCTGGTGCAGAAAAAGACTTCTCAGTGGAGGGAGGGAAGGCTGCATTGATCAACTGTTGGCTCTGCACTGACACGTCCCTGGAGCTTGGTGCATAATACACTTCAGCACTGCTGTTGCCTCTTGGAGTGCTAAAAATGAAACAATCGGCGGTTTAAAGGCAGGCTTAAAAACAACAGCTGACTGGCAGAACGCTTCACCTCCATCTCAAAATGATTTGCCAGTTTGGGTGATAAGGCTTGGTCAGGTTTTAGCAGTGATTGCATGTTTATCCCCTTTCACACACCCCATTCATATTGTTTTGATGTTGGGATGTGAGCCTTACTGCCATGTTATTTAGCAAATGACTGTTTGGAGTCCTTCGTACATGGACTACTTATTAGCTGCAACAAAAAAGTAGACCTCTCTCTCTCCACAGCCAATTAGTTTGATTAAAATAATTGGACTGTATATTGTAGCAAATGTCACTAAGCTGCTATGGTTAATTGGTTTAGCTCATGTCAGTTCCTATAATAGAGAAGCTAGGGCTATTTTGGGGTACCACTGAGAAGCATCCACCAAGGCTGCAGTGTAAGTACACCTGGACTCCACCGGTCTTACCTTTGAATAAATATGCACAGGATCAGCGTGAATATTCTGTGGATCCAGGTGCTCATACTGTGACATAAAGACCATTGAAACAAGGGCAAGTGGTGTGGTGAAAGGCATTGGATGGAATATTTAATTCCATCCTTCCTGAGACTGGAGAACTATTTTGGAGTGGGGAGCTCAGTTCTGTTCTGTAGCTATAATTTCCATGTGCATCCCATTTTTATTAATTTTCAGGAACAGACACACCAAAGTAGACACTGTTAGATCCTGGCCATAGGATAAGGACAACCATGGACAATAAGTCCAGGTAGTGAATCTCTTCCAGGAAAATATTCCAACTGAATATTCATTCCCACCCACCCCCATTTAAGGGTACAGAAGTGTTTTTAGTGCTGTCACATTAAAAAAACCTTGAGGGCAAGTCCTTGTGCTACCAATGGAGAATGGACATGCAATGACTCCTGAAGACCAGCCCCCTTCAGATGTGTTAGACTATAGCGCCCATCATCCTTGGCCACTGTCCATGGATCAATGACCTTTTCACATTGCTTTTCCCTGCACTACTCCATGCAGTTATTAACGCTTCCTGAAGTGCTTGGCCAGCATCTGTGGTTCTGGATTAAGGAGGCCACGCTGGTGATGCAGGTGGACATGTTGTATGTGGCCTTACTGAAGGCCACATGAGTAGCAGCTTCCGCAGGTGGGTAGCTTGCAACCCGTGGGCTGGATGTACCTTTCCTGCCCTTTCCTGGATTTCCAGCTGCCTCCGTCACCAACGCCACACAGCTTGCTGCAAGAGTGACACAAGCTAGCGTCCCTTTGGCCACCACCAGCAACTTTGGGGGCATCGGCAGTGGTGTGACCTGCTTGGTGGCCTGGGGGGGTCATTGTGGTCTTCCACCCCCTGAAGATTGCCCCTGCTGGTGCTAATATGCCTGTTAAATCAGGCCACTAATCTCCTCATTGTGGTACAGTATGATTGCCCATGGGGGACGCTACTTGTATTGGATGAATTATTTATTCTTCTATTTTATTTAACCATTTCTTTTGGTTGGAATGTTTCTGTAAGAACAGCCTACTCTATCAAAATGATTAATAAAACATTATTCAAATGGGGGCATGCAATTAGAATGAAAAGGCACTAATGAGAATACAAATCTGACTATGGAGACAGCTGAATCTGTTGGCGATCTGGATTTTATGTGCATCTTCTTAAATCTTTTCTACCCAGCTGACGTGCACAATGCAGAAAAGTTGCTCACCAAAAAAAATTAACATTTTTCTTTCATTAAACAAAGAAAAAATAATGCAAGATGTGCTTAGCTTTTCTGGGCCTCTACAGAGCTTCAGCTTTCCATATATAACAATTGTTATTCCTATTTCAGAAAGTGTTATTACACAGCTGAATGATGGTTTGAAGAACAGAAATGCTCCCTTTTTTGTTTTTTGTTTTTTTCATCTCTCTCTGGAGCTAATTGCTAATTTTTCCCAATCTTGCCTTGAAGGAAGACTGCAGTATGATAAAATATTGAGAAATTATGCAGTTCACAATCCCTAAACACATCTCTGTGATGTGGGTGCCAAAACAAAGATTCCAAGGATTTTGATGGCAACTGTGTGAAGTTTTAGGCTGCTAACCACTCCCGGAGTTTCTGAATGCTACGGGGATTTTCTGTAGAGAGACTCAAAAGGACTGGAAGCATGGGAGGAGAGAAAAAAGCACATGCAGGATGAGAAGTCCATGGGCAGGTTCACATTACACAACAAGCTGTGGTGGCATCTTGCGCATGATGGTCTGTTGTGTCGTTGGATCCCAGGATGATACGTTTGGTTTCAAGAAACAACAGTCTGTTCTAGGGTTGCCATGCCTTGCCCTGGTTTCTCTGGTTGTCTGAACACGGCATTGTGGCTTCTGCAGTTCTGATATGTGGCTGTCAGAGAGTCCCCTAGCAAGAGCAGGAACTGCCGCAGCCACCCAGTGTGGGGATGTATTTTGGGTGCTGTGGCTGATGGGATATATGCCAACAGAGGGCAGACTGCGTGAAGAGGGTGGAAAGCACGCTAGCATCAAAACCCTTAATCGTCTGCCAAGCACTTCCATGCAAAAACATACACAGTGTGGAAATAACAGGTTGCTTGTCGTGACATGTGAACCCAGCCTGTGTGTGAAGGACCAAAACTGAGTTTAGTATTGTATTAAACATTCCCCACTGTCCACTGCATGTTTTGAAAAAGACTATCCATAAACTGGGCGTGCATCATCCCTTCAGTAGGACTCTGAGTGGAGCTACTTATTTCCTCACTGCTAGACTTTCGGTACGGAGTCACTAGTTCTCATGAAACTGAAAGGGCTCTGTAAAATTAACTCCTGTTTTCACTGGGTTCCCTAAAGCCCATCCCCATTTATTTGAAAATCTGAGATTCTTTAACATTTTCAGGGGTGGCAGGCAAAGCATTGTCTTCATTCAGTCAGTTTAGCAGAACAGAAAATGCATGTTTAATTGAGCAACTTTCCTAGATGGTTCATTTGGACGAACTATTATCAGAATCCAGATGATGCATTTAGAGAATGGAGTGGAAATGTTTGTTTCATGCAGGATTCTTTGCTTTTTTTGACATCTCGCTACTGCAAACAGTATCTTAGGGCATCCCATGATAAAACAGCTTATTAATATGTAGGTTTTTGCAAAGATTCACAAGGTGCTTGCCATTTTTAATCATCGTAAACATGAATTCTCTTTAGGTTTCAGTTCTGTTTGTTCTTTCTGCACGCACAGCATTGATTCTCGCCAGTCTGCCTGAGCTTCTGAACCTCAGCAGACGAGCAGGGAGTGAATGACTGACATGTACACCACGGTCAGATTTTGTTGAGATGTCCGTGAGATGTATAAGGTATAAGGAGCTGCCATAAAACTCACTTCATTAAGTCCAATGCTGTCTCTTTGGACTAGCAGGCTTGCTTCAAGGTTTCAGTCAAGGATCCTTCCCAGTCCTGCTCCTTCCTGAGATATTTTATCTGCAGTAGCAGGTTACTGACTCTTTGGCACATGAAGCCTGTACTCTCTGGCTGATCTTTGAGTCCTTTCGAAGCAGCAGATTTTGGGAAGAAAGTGATGTGCCTACAGCTTGTGGTTTGGCAATTCTGAAGGATTCTTCCTTGCTCCATTGCTACTGGTGGACTTTTTAAAGGGGCAGGCAAGATCTGGGTTGGCTCCTTGGATAACCTCCCTCAGCAAGCCTAGGCTCTTATCTATATTGTCAGTGGCTGTTCCCCTTCTTCCTTGTCACCATTGCCACCACCACTGGCTTGCTTGCCTGGCTGATCAGGAGTCAGAGAGCAAGTAAACATCAGCCAGCCAGCAGCAACTACATTTAAAACACCGCATCATGTTAAACGATTGACATCTTTTAAATATAAATCCTTCTCTGGTCAATTGTTTTCTGTCGTCCTATTGCTAAACATCAAAACATTTGGCTTGCAGCCACCTGTCCCGCAACAACCATGTTGGATTAGAAGCAGTATGTTCTTGGCCTCTTTGTGTTGAGGGTGAAAAGTGCCCTGTGAGCTGAAGATTTTTGCTGTGTTAGAGGAAATAGTTCATTGTAAGAGAAAACCAGAGAGTTTATGGTAGGTCCCTGAGAGGTTTACCTGGAGGCAAAATTGCTTTGTTGTTTGCAAGTGACCCCACCAGGTGCTTTCTATAACCTGTCAGGTTCTGCCATGCTCTGGCAGGTCATAAAAGGGCACAGTCCTGGAAAAAAGGCTGAGTATCCATGAAAGCTGAGTGCAACAGTATTTCAAAGTTCTCAACAAATATGTTTTCAGAAGGTGCATAAAGCTGAACACTTAGAGGGCTCAACTGTAGGTACCACAAGGTCCAATTTCCTGACAGGATCCGGCCTTGAGAACAGACTACTGAAACCTTCGAGTCTATGGACATTTGTATGGGAGATATGTAACTATATGATGTCTATGGAGGCATTCTGACTTGGGTGACAAATTGGGGAACTATTAAAATGTAGCAGATTTTCTATTTTCTTGTTGATTATTCAGTTACCATTGCTGGATTTCATCTGGATTTCCTGTCTCATGCACCAGGATGTACTTTGCTATTTCAAGATATATAACCCTGAAACAAACAAAAAAATTGTTTTGGGTAAAGCAAAAGGGAATCAAAATGGAACTGTAATGTTCTGTGCACTATTTTCTTACTCCTTTTTGTTGTGTTGCTTGCTTGTTTGAATAATACATGCTTCAGTTATACCCTGTAAAGTGACTGTATTTTTTCTTCACTTTTGCAGGTTGTTTTAGTCTTCGCTCTTAGTATTGGTGCTCTTGTAATATACTTCATAGATTCGTCAAAGTGAGTATTCTAATACACTTCCTGTTCTTTTCCAACACACTCTAAAGCAATTATGAGTAGTTAAATTGCTCCATTCATCTACTTCAGCTGAAAGCTTTGTGCTCATCACCTGTGTACCATAAGAAAAAGGGGAGGGGGTTAAAATCCTGCCATTTCTCAGCATTACTCACAAAGATATTGGGGAAGCTTTTTTTTTTTTTTTAATTGTGGAGGTGTGCTTCTATTTTTCATGTTTTGAGTTGGGATAGGAATAAGTGAAGTGTTCTCAGAACAGTTTAGACAAATCTGTTCTTGCAGTGAGTATGTTAAGTATCAGTTTATATTAAAACAGCATTAGTGTGACATGACACAGGAAAGCTCATCCAGGAACTTTCAGAGCTATAAAAATCGTGATCTGCACCTAGTTCCTGAGGGCCCAGTTAGATGCTCTAGGTACCACGTTGCTGCCAGGGTGCATCTTTTCCCTCTCCCTTCCCTCCTGCTCTGGTGCCACTGCGTTCCATGTCCCCCCAGCCATTGGTTGCCAATGCTGTGGAAGGGGAGCAGAGAGCGTGGAGAGCTACAGCATCACTGCAGAAGGGAAGCTCAGCTGGGTTTTCTGGGAGGGAAGCAGCCATTGCAGTGAGAGACACACCTAATGCCAAGGGCATTGCAAGGCCGTACCAGATACCCTCATACAGATGGGCAACCTGCAGCCCTCCAGATATTGGCAGGCTCCTGTTTCCGCCAGCATAGCCAGTTGCTGGGGATACTGGAGTTCAGGTCCATCAACAACTGGAGGGCCACAAGTTGCCTTCCCTTGCCCTAATATCTAGCTGGGCACTGATAATGCCAGCAGTATCTTTAAAAGGATCGGCTGATACCTCCTCCTGTGGTGTCATCTAGTCTATTGGAAGCTGTAGGAGCCTGAAAATAATGTGATGCTTCATTTGTGGCTGACAGTGGCTGATGAATGGCAGGGAGATGATCCCACGTGGGTCAAAAGATGCCAAAACTGCATCATGGGGTATTTTTGAAGTATTTATATTATTTGAAGCAATATAAAGAAGGATCAGCACATTTGGTTGCAGTTAGATGAGTATAATTTATCATCAGATGATAACACATCTATGGTTCCATCCTTACGATCAAAATAGATAGTTTTTATATAAGAAAGGACTACCACTTTAGCAGCCCATATGATTACACGCACTAAATACTGCTCATATAGCTAGTTTAACACATTGGATGGAGTGCAGCCATAGGGGAAAACATTTCCATATTCTGTACATTTCATTGAAGAGATTTGAGCAGGTGGTTGTGTGTCAAGGATGCCACCCCCACACAGTTTGACTAAGATGCTTTGGTTCCATGGGCAGGTGTGTCTGTTGATCACCTGATCAAGAGAGAAAAATGTAGCTGCATGGATAGAGCCCACTTAGCAAGATGTGTAAATTCCAACTGAATGTTCTAGTCTTCAAGATTTAATTTACAGGCTGTGGTTCCTCAAGCTGAATAGCATGAAGTGGTACCAGAAAATGCAGATGTATTGCTGAAGCAGTATTAAAGAATAAGCACATTTTGCCATGACAAAAGAAGCAAGCCACACTGCTGCATATAATGCAGCTGGGATGATTGGAAGCATGTTAGAAATTGGGGCTAGAATTTTCTTACTGCAAGTTCCATTTCTCTCAATCAACACAGCAATCATTGCAGAGAATTAAATTTTATTAACTGGCAGTCTTGCTTGACAGAACACAAATAACCTTGTTTGGCAGGCTTCTTGTTTTCCCAGGATCTCTGTGCTCAACCAAGTCAAAACCCTACCTAATATTATCTTCAGTTTGTTATCTAACATATATCTAGGGAAGAGACTCAAGACCTTCAGCATCTAACCCTAAGAGGTCTCAGTCCTAATACAGAAATACTTAAGGCTGACTTCAGAGGCATCTTTGTGAAGGTGCATTTTTTCCTAAATCAGGAAGCTTTTTGATTCTCTTTACCCCTGTTCCAAAACACATCTTTGCCCTAGAAGCCAGTGTACCGCATGTACCAAACACCCTGCACTTACAGTCAGCACACACAGATGATCAGGACTAATATTCTCATAAGACCCACTGCATTCGTATCCACAACACATGTTACATTCACATTTTCTTTATTTTTCAAGTTTGTATGATGCTCCATAGCCAGAGGCTCTCTGGGTAGCTTGCAGCTCTACCTACCTACCTACCTACCTACCTACCTACCTACCTATCTATCAATCATACAAATAAAAATAACAACCAAACCATCAAACATACTAGAATTAAAATGCAATATAAATATAACCATATAAATAGGAACAGGAGGAAATAAACATGATATAACCAATACTGAAGGGACTGCAGGTGGTGCAGTGGTTTAAACTGCTGTGCTGCTGGGCTGGTTGATCGAAAAGTTGCTGGTTCAAATCTGCACAACGGGGTGAGTTCCCGTTGCTCCGTCCCAGCTCCTGCCAACCTTGCAGTTCGAAAGCATGCAAATGCAAGTAGATAAAAAGGCACCTCTTCGGTGGGAAGGGAACAGCGTTCCGTGCACTTTGGTGTTTAGTCATGCCAGCCACATGACCATGGAGACTGTCTTTGGACAAACGCTGGCTCCCTCGGCTAGGAAACGGAGATGAGCACTGCCCCCGAGAATCAGGCATGCCTGGACATAACGTCAAGGGGAAACCTTTACCTTTACCTTTAACCAATACTGACAACCAATAAAACAGTAAACCAGCAGTAAACCAATAATCCAATCTAAAAATAGATGCTAAATAAAAAAGTCTTAACTTGACACTGAAAGCAAGATGAAGTGGGTGCCAGTTGCACCTCCCTTGGAAGGGAATTCCAGAAGTGAGGTATGACAACCAAGAAGGCCCTTTCTCTCACCAATCCTCCCTCACCTAATTTGGGGGGGGGGGGTTTCAAGAAGGAGGCCCTCCATGATGACCGGAGGGAAATACGGAGACGGGTGTGACAGCTCTCCCAGTGAAATCAATGGGACTTACAAACACTTGACCTTGGCTTGCTCGCCCTGCATTTCCGCTGAGAAGCGAGCATAACAGAACACATTGCCAACACCTGTATCAAACAAGTATATTTTTCAGGGAGCTACAACTGAATCCTACATACACTCAGTTTGCACGATCATCAGCTTCTTCTCTGTGTCCCCATGCAGGGCACTTCAGAACTGCTTGCACTTTATATAGGTCACCTAATGAGGGCTTCACGCCTTCTTCTAGGCACACTTTTACTCTCTGAAAGTAGAACAAGGAATGAGAGCTTGTTCTAAGAAAAATTGCTGCCTTAAAGAATGTCAGACTAAACTGTTATTGGAATACCTGTCTGCTTTGTCTGGGGGAAATTGCCATAGCTTGTCCAGTGGCTACAGAGAAATGCTGAACTCAGCTCTCTAGAGTAAGATGTTCTGATTCAATTTCTCACATTAAAGGCTGAACCAAGCTTTCTTAAGCCTGTGTACAATCAAATGGAGTGAAATATGATTGTGTTAGAATTTCCAGTGGGGGTCTTATCTTTAGTAAAAGTCATGTCAAAATGGGTCTACATTTGTGATTACTGAGAAACAAGGAATGAGCAAATAGGAAGGAAGGAAGGAAGGAAGGAAGGAAGGAAGGAAGGAGGAAGGAAGGAAATTGTCACAAAGGCTGAAAAAGCCAAGAAGAAGGAACTCTCTTTTGTGGACAATGGAAGCCATAATGGCCCATAAAATGTTGTGCAAAAGAAAGATGTGACAGTAATGAATATATTACAAAATGCTAGCTCAGACTTAACATTAAACACAGAAATGCATGATCACGCATAATGCAGAAGTCTCATCTACTTGATAGGAAGAGCTACATGTTGCAAGGGTTCCACACCTCAGTGATACCATGGTTCGAACTACTGCAAAGAGGAATGTGAGGCAGGTTACTTAGGTTGTTTCCCAAGGTTGTGATCATGAGCACACAAGACAATGGCTAGAAGGATCGTGACTGTATCCCTGTGACCAATACCTAGTCCTGAAGTAATATAACATGCTTCCGGCTTGACCTTTTACAGCTGGTCAAGGCAAGAGCTATTTGGGACATTTTAACATCCCAGCAAAGCTGGTGACCAATTTTCAAAATGTCACATTGCATCAGTCATTCCTAGATTTGTTTCTCATATTGAAAAAGGGTTTCGGCAAAGGAAAGAGAAGTTTTGTTGGTTGTAGACACAGAACCATGCTGTAAAACAAGGGGATTATTCCACAGTCCTAACTGGGGCCATGTAGGTGCCCCATCCCTCCTTCTGACGTGTGCCAGCTATCCCCACCCCCTTCCCCTGTGGCCATTTGTTTTTTGGTCTCTTGCTTTTTGCACAGCCCCCCCCCCCCCGCCATTCTAAAAAAAGTCTAAAAGTTTCTCCTAAACCTTTCAGGAAAAATTGTTGGCATGTTTGCACCACCCACTTTCCTTTCAGTCATCCTCACCACTGGAATGCCTCCTGCAAGAGCTTCCTCAAAGATGAATTGAGTGGAAATGCTTTCTAACTAGTATTGATCAATGCTGAATGGTTTTCTATTGCATACTCAGTGGGGAAAGGGAATGGCTGTAATGTCAGCCTGCTACAAAGCGCTTTGATAAAATTGCTTGCCTCCTTTTTGGTGCAGATCCCACCATTATCTCCTGTAGAGTTGTCCAACTTCAATGTCTGCCCTCCAATTTGTGTGGAATTCAGTTTTGCTATTGTCACCTGTTGCAACGGCACCTCTTGTGCGCTCAATCCTTCATTTTGTGATTGCTCAAAGCTAGTCGGGAGGTGTTGGGGCCATCTCTGCTGGTGGTTAGAAGTGCTCTCCTGTGGTGGGGAGAGATGCCTGCTTCTTTGAAGCAGGTTGTAATAGGTCCTCTGATTAAAAAGCAGACACTTGGTGTGTCTGGTTTTAGCCATGTTGTATTCATTTCAGTCTTCCCATGTTTGGGTGATACGATCCAGTGACCAAGACAAGCA